AAGGTGCTGGCTGTCTAGCCCAAAGGCCCAAATATGTATATATTTTTTCTGTAATCTAAAAGATCCCTGGAAGACCTGCTCGGAAGACAATGGACTCAATTTGCAGTTAATGACTTGTTCGTTTCTTCTGTGAAAAACACGATAAAGACATTTGGATTCAGGCATTCATTAACATTTTGATTAATTACCTCTACTTATCTGCCTTGGTACAGTTAGTTTCTCTCATCTTTTTCAGAGACCCACATGGAAAACAACTAGAAAACCTTACAGCTCGTATCTATGTTTAAGATATACAGAAATGTGAAAAACATAATGCACTCTTACTGCTTCAGTAGGAAACAAGAAGGTAAGGAGTAGCCAGGTGCTCAGTTAAGTCTCAGTTAACATATTAAATGTTAAAGTTCATGGCAATGCAGTTAGAGCGAGACTGAATAAGCATGGCTTGTTTGGAACGTTTCCAGGAGAAAGCTTCTTCTCTTTAGTAGGCTTGATTAGTGTAACAGCATCTTTACAGGTCTACCTAAAAAATCAGTCAGACAACTACAGCTCATTCAGAACTCTGCTGCTCGAGTCCTCACTAAGACCAAAAAAGTGGACCACACCAGTCCAGCTCTGAGGTCTTTACACTGGCTGCCTGTCCGTCAGAGGATCGACTTTAAAGTTCTGATGCTGGTCTGTAAAGCTCTCAATGGTTTAGGACCAAAATACATCAGTGACCTCCTGACCCAGTATGAACCTTCCAGATCCCTCAGGTCATCTGGATCCGGTTTTTTATCAGTTCCCAGAGTCAGAACCAGACACGGAGAAGCTGCATTCAGCTTTCATGCTCCTTATATCTGGAACAAACTCCCAGAAAGCCTCAGATCAGCTGAAACACTCAGTTTATTTAAATCCAGGTTGAAGACTCACCTGTTCTCAGCTGCATTTGAATAAAGCACCAAATCCACACTTTTAAGCTTAAACTTCAAAACTTACATTTTAACTACTGATTTTATCTGCTGTTCCCTTTTTTTAAAATCATGCTTTTTATTTGTTTTTGTTTTTTAATGTCTCTGTAAAGCACTTTGAATCACCTTGTTATTGAATTGTGCTATATAAATAAACTTGCCTTGCCTAAAAAGAACATGGCAGCACCTCCTAGGTTTGCAAATTTGCAAGTGAACAAATCCCAAGGTTTTCTGTAACAATGTCCTTTGGAGAGATAAGACTACAGTGGAGATGTTTGGCCAAAATACAGTTCCAGAAAACCAAACACAGCACATTAGCACAAACACCTCAAACCAACTGTCAAACCTGGTGATGGAGGGGTGATGATGTGGGCTTGAGTCATTGAGTCGAGCATGACCTCCTTTCTATATGAAAGCATTCTAGAGTCAAGTGTGAGACCATCAGTCTGACAGCTAAAGTTTTGCCCAGACTGGGTCATGCAACAGTACAACGATCCTGAGCGCACCAGAGTTCACAGAATCTACAACATAATGTCTGAAAACGAAAAAACCAGTATGTTTCGATGAACCAGAGCTGTCACAAACTAATGTCTGCAAACCTCAATGAACTGAAGCAACTTTGTAAAGAAGAATGGAACAAATACTCCACAACAATGTGTCCGACTCATTAAGTCACAGAAGGGCAATCTACAAGCTACTGAATGATGGGCTGTACTTAGCATTTAAAGGACTGAGCGTATTTAAGACCTGCTGAGTCACTGCCAACTTTAGCCTGTTGAGAGGTAACCTGTAAAACAAGTAAACATAGTGTTGTTTGAGAAAACAAAAAGGGCGGCACTATGAGAATAATTAATGTCATACACTTTATTTATCTCAGATTTAGAAAAATTATATTATAGTAATTTAAAAAGTAAATTAAACACAAACATGCATTAAAAAAGTAGAACGACTGATGAAATAAAATACAATGTGACAATAAAAATCACTCTATAAGATAAAAAATGAATTTGAAATTTAAAAATCAAAGTAAAATAGGAATTTAATTAAAATATATTAAGTAGAAGTGCATTTTTCAAAGTCAACAAAGCAAAAATAGCTCACTAATTATAGCAAAAGCAGCAGTGGCTCAGAATAACAGTGTAATAGTGCAGTGCAGCCTGTGTGTGTGTGTGTGTGTGTGTGTGTGTGTGTGTGTGTGTGTGTGTGTGTGTGTGTTGTGTTGAAATAAAATGTTAAAGTTAGACAGCAGATGTGTTTCATTGCAGAGAGTTCTTGCATGTATGAAAGGTTTTCTGAATCGGCGTGTTAGCGAATGAGCTCCGCAGCCGGTGCAGAAGGTGGTCGGCATGATCCATGATGGATAACAGTGTGTTCTGTGACCTCCTCTCCACCACAGCTGCCACAGCTGTGTCTGGTTTGCAACCAATCACAGAGCCAGCGTTCCTGATCGGTTTAGTCAGTCTGTCTCTGATGCTGCTTCCCCAGCAGACCACAGGAAAGTACACTGAACTCGCCACAGCTGATTGATAGCAAATCTTCATCATTTTCTTCAGACACTGAAGGATCCCAGCTTCCTTTGCAAACAGAGCCGGCTCATCCTCTTTGTGCAACACAGCCTCCGTGTTGGTTTTGGTTCAGCCTGTTTCGATGTGGATGCCCAGGTACTCGAACCCCTTTTTAAATTACATACAGACATATTTCTATAGCACATTTTAAACCAAAGTTCTTTACATTAAAATAAAACAGAATAAACAAATTATTTTAAAACATGGTGGCACACACATTCTCAGTGTTTACATTAAACAATGCAACACTGATCAATCTTCCAGAAGTCGGCAGTTTCCAACTTGACAGAAAAAGGTTTGTCTTCAGCCCGGATTTCAAATAATAGCTTGTCTGAGGTCACCCAGGAGGTCATTCCAGAGTTGTAGTGCAAAAACAGCAAAGGGACAAGCTCCTTTTCAACAAGCTTTGACTGTGGGGTCATCGGGAGTGACTGAGAAGCAGACATTAACGATCCAAAGCAGCGGTCCTCAATCCTTTTTGCGCCACGGACCGGTTTATGTCCGACAATATTTTCACAGACCGGCCTTTAAGGTGTCGCGGATAAATACAACAAAATGAAACCAGTACCGGGACCAAAAAAAGACAGGAAAAGACCCAGGGAAACCGAGTAAACGATAAAAACGATTTAAGAAAATAACGATAAAACCCTGAAAACCATCAATTTCACACCCGTGCCCTTAACTCTTGCGGCCCGCTGCCAAGCAACTCATGGACTGATACCGGTCTGTGGCCGGGAGGTTGTGGAAGGCTGATCTAAAGGAGCATAGGGACGTTAAATGCAAGCAGTGGCACATTACACTGGATTCTGTAATGCCGAGAGAGAAAGAGCACCGGAGTAATGTGATCTCTCTTATTTTTTAATGAATTTTAAAAGCTATGATTGACTAACTTCAGTATATGTTTACAGTGGTCCAGTTTAGATGTAAGACCAGACTTTTTTGTTCTGAGCTGGAAGAAACTGCTCTTCAGGACTGCATTTGTTTCTCTGTCAAATTAGTGTCAGAGCTTATCACAGTGTTGTTAATCTGCGTTTTAAGGAATGGCATTTTAAAAGCCCGGGTATGCTTCAGCCTCTCAGTTAATAGTGGAGAGAGAAACAGTATGACCTTCTTTAACTGTAAAATCCAGTTGTTTTGTCTCCAAAATCCACTCATTGAGCCTTCTAATTTTTTCTGAGATTTAAAGGCAAACAAATAAAAAGATGCGTTAGGACAGAGAAGAAGCACACACAAAGAACAGGTTGCTGTAGCCGCTCTCTTCCTCCTAAAGCTGATCACCGTCTCTCTGCTCTTTTTCACATTCAGACGCCGATGCTTCTCCCAGAGCACTCCACAATATCATCCACTAGCGCTCTGTACTCCTCCTCCTCCTCCACCTCGTGCACATTACTTATACATCCAACCGCTGCAGAATGGTCAGACTATTTCTGTAGGTGGCATGACCTGGAGTTGTACTGAAGGTCGGAGGTTCGCAAGGTGAACAGGAACAAGTATTTGAAACAAACCTCGGTGGGAAATTCCTGTAAGTTTTGTGCTTCTTTTTCAAAAGGAAGATTTTTTTGTTTCCTGAACCTTCGACATAACTAATTTCTTCATTCGTTTTTCCTGACCTGGAACAGTGTTTATGGATCCAGGGCTTCAAGGTTGAACAGTTAATTCTAGTGCTGATTTAAATCTGTTGACCTTTGCATGAGTGACTCTCCAAGTCTGAATTCTGATTTCTTGTAACCTCAGAACAGCGGGGTTGTCGCTTGGTAGCACGATTATTACTGGATTCAGTTTTGTGTTTCAATGAATGTTGACGGCCAGAGAGGGAAACCACACAAATTCACAGTACGGGAACTTAGTTGTTACTCGTTTCAGACTGTCTGCTTTCTGAACGAATGGACGTCTTCTGCAACCACTTTGAATTTGTTTCATGTAGCCTTTATTTAAATGTAGCTGTTTATCCAGAAGGCCATGAATGAAAAAGAATTAAGCATGCTAAGAGCTAAAAATTAATAGAGACAGGTGTGACTCATCTTAATGCACCTAGCTACTTATTACTGGGTAAAACAGCTTGCTGTTTAGTATTATACATGGCATATGCTGCATTTTTTTCCCTCCTTTTAGCTCCATTAGTGCAGCGAGTGTGTGGGAGCCAGGGGCAGTTCAGTGAATTAATTGACTGAGGGCCTGACACTTGACTGTTTTGGAAAGATTCATTCATTTTGATTCATATAACTGTTGTCTGCTTACTTGTAGGCATACTTTGCTCTGTCAGATGTAACCCAGTTCCTAAAATCATCTCAAACAAAAAGAGAAGAAAAATTAAAACATTTAATGTTCATTGTTCTGTTCTTACTGTCCCTGTTAATGAAAGTGAAATGAGATCAAAATAGTTATTTAAACATAGAAGGGACGCAGATTATATATGATATGCTCTGGTCAAACAAGGGTTAAGTTTTCTCAGAGGGTAGATGAGCTCTGATGAGAGCCTATTGTTTTACTCCACTCCTCGCATGGCAGCCAATCGGTGAAGCTCTAGGCAGCTCTTGTCCCTCCTTAGTACCAGCTCCCAAGTTTTCAGTCTCTTGCTTCTACAGCCGAACAGAGCAGACGGACTAAAACTTTTGTTATCGGTAAGCTGGAGAAATTAACCTCTAACGAGTTAAAAAAATACGATCTAAACTGATATTTTTCACAAATTATGTATTTGCACTTGTTGTTGTCAAGTGCAGAGCGAAACCGGAAGGTTTACTGAGCTGTGGCTCCACGTAAATGCTGAGCATCCACTCGACGGCGGTAAGCTAAATGTGGCTAATCAGACACGTGTGTCTGTGAGGGTTCTCAGTCATCCAGGTCATCGTAGTCAAAGGAGCTTGCAAAGAAAAGCGTCTGGACTTCTTTAAGTTACTTGAAGACGTTTCACCTCTCATCCGAGAAGCTTCTTCAGTTCTAAGGTCAAATGGTGGGGAGTCCCAGATATAAACCTAGTGGGAGTGACCCCCCACAG